TGGTCGAGTATCACGGGCCTATTGTATTAGCGGGCATGGAACGCCGCCTTATAAATTACTCACACACAGGGCATGAACCTCCTAGTCTCTCCTGGCCGGAAGGAGACCAACGGAGAAGCACAAGAGTAGTCGTTATTGAGAGAGACGACTTAGAGAATACCTACAGATACATATTCGGTATTCTCACGCCCTACTTCCCAAAGTAGTATAAAAGGCCCATAGAATAGGCTGACGATCTTCAGTCTATTCTCTTCGTTCAGTACTGTCTTCCTACAGTACTCCTTCGTTCTCCTGTATCTCCACATACAGGAACCTTCATTCGCTGTAGTCTTCCTACTACAGTCTTCATTGCTATATCGCAATACACTTCTGGCTCCTGTGCTACACGTACAGTCGAGACCATCGTTCCACACATCCTCCACGAGTGACCTAGGGAAGAACCTCCTACTCTTGGGGTTACCGACGAGCAGTCGTAACAAAGGGCTGGAGCTGTCCAGCTTTTCTAGTGCACTAAGCATGATCAAATAGACTACTAGACTGCATGGATCTGTCACCATTGCTATAGTAGATAGTAACAATGAACTGATGTTGCTATCAAGTCTCTCTCATATTCTTGTCAACTACCCAAACATTACTCAATGGCTGAGAATTGCATTGTTCTTACAGCTATTTCAACTTGTCAATCACCTTAAAGAGTACTTGTTATGGCACTTATTGCCTAATGCTGAGGGCCTTTTTTTCAAGTTGCCAAAGACTATGCAAGGCTTCTGTGTAGTGATGCTTGATATGTATCCCCTAACATGAATTTGCTTAGATCCATGCTATTTGGAAGGACACTATAGACCATAGTGTCATATGGTGAGACACTTTATAGTTGGAGGATAGGAAATAGTCTAATTGACATGCCAACTAATTCTAGAGAATTGTTGCCTAGACTGACTTAGGTTTTCCTTCTTTCTCAGAGTAGCTTAGTTGTTCATTAATAAGGGTAATTCTCTATTTATATAGTGGTACTAGTTTATCTTACTATGCAAAGCTGTGTGCCTGTGTTGAGAGGTATATGGATTCTAAGGGAGTAGTTACTAGCATGTCATTAAGTATGTTGTTCCTATGAAGGTACTATGTATTAGAATTGGTAGAGTAGCTTGAGAAATACTTTTCTAAATTTGGACTCTTTCTATTTGAAAGAATCTAAAAGATGAGCATGATAAAGAAATAAGACTAGGATATTAGCATCTGGAAAGCCACTCCCTTGTATTAAGCTTTAATTAGCTATAATTGATGCTCTGCTACTAAATTGTGAAAAATTAGAATTAGACATTTTCAACTTACCCCTTCTCTAAACCTGTTTAAATTAGATATAATTTTCCTAAATTAGGAATTATTAAGAGTGATTATAACTTGATATTTTGGAAAAATAGTAATAAATCAAATATCATAGTTCTTATAGCCTTCTTATAGAGTCATGTTTATTAAAGCACTAGTTAAATACCTAAACACAAAATATATCTTATAATAAACTTGCCTTTTGCAAAAGTTAAACCAATAACCTTATGTATACAAGTACCTGAGCCAGATGCTCTAAGCCACTAAGCCATAAGGTCTAATATATTAACTTGGTAATCTAAATAAGTGGACGTGATACAGGCAATCTCAACATCTCTAATTTTATTCAACATTTATCTTTTCTCTATTTAATAAATAAATGAATCAATGTATGCCCAAAAAGTTAGGCCTTTTAGGATTTAGTTTAAACACTAGCTAATTGTTAGGACTGCATCCTAACACGTGCTTGGCACGTGGACGGAAGGGAAGGTCAGGTGTTTCCTCAGACTCGAACTGTTAACGACTAGGACTGTGACTTGACATGTGTCTAGGCACATGACTCAGGACATGGTCATGAGCTACACACATGACTTGGACTCAGACTGTTTATCATTTATATGCTGAAGCATGAACGCTTACATACTATGATCTCTTTCTTATTGTGCTTACTGATGTCGATCATGATCGGTTCCTGATTGCATATTGCTGCGGACAGACATTTGATATACTTACTATACATAGTTACATCGAAGAGCCGCGGAGTATGAACAATGACTGCAGCTTACATGCATCGATCGTTGATAGTACTTAGTGTTTAGAAGCACGGACCATATGTCCGTCTCACCCTAAATAGCCCTGTACTATATATAGGAGAGCTGAGCTTCTTAGAAGCCTCAGCTCGTTCACTTCGTATACAATCTTGATCTCTGCACTGCGCCTAGCGTCTGGCTCCTTCCAAGCCCACGCATCGCGAACTCTGTCAGATCAATTGAATCATACCTAGTCTGACGAAGCACTGGATTTGTCTCAAAGCCCTTATCATTCTCCCATCTCTATCGCTTATCAAGGACTCGCTGCTTATCGAGTCGTTCGCTGGGATCCACCCAAAGTGATCTGCTCTATCGGAGAAGACTTGTTCGTTCCTGAAGAACATTGGTCAATTATAAATAATCATCTTCTCCACTTGTTCGAAGACAAGATCAATAGTAACCAAGGCTTCTTGGATCACGCACGCAGACGAGCCATCGTCTTCATTCGTTGGGCAGTCAATCTTAGTTTTAGCTTAGGGAACCCTACTTAGTGCATTAAGTGCACGTGATAAGCCTAGCAGCTTAATACTAATAAGATAATAAACTAATAGAAAATAAATAATACACTTTATATAGGGTAAAAACAAATTATAGTGCTCACACAATTTAGATTTAGAATATATAAAACTATGATTGAGTATAATATTCAATAGGACTCTATTAGTATAGACAATGCTACCTTAATTTGCAAATTTGATTAAGAACATGATTATGAATAATTAGCCATAATTATCCCAAATTAGTATTATTAATGATTATCAATAATTCAGATCTAATAAAAGAAAAGGGTTTTCCAAATGGCCACTAGTGAGGTAAATAGTGGGAACAAGGGTATATGTATGGCATGCCTATGTATAAATAAGCACAATATTGTTAGAAATGATCTTAATATGCTTGGTGCACATATTTTCTGTATAGCAGGCAAATATATCATTCTGGCATTATATACCAACATGACTGTCTTTTCACAGCCCAATAGCTAGAGGGAAACACCAAGTTTGAGCATATTCTATATAATAAGGCAATAAACAATATAGATAGTTCTGAAAATTTTAATATTAATAGTGATGATGATTGTGTGCTGCACAAGACAGTATTGACCACTGTACTGATCAACAAGGTCTACAAGGCTGTATGTAGCATATCCCTAAGCCTAATCCATATGTTGTATTATGTAATAACCAGTAGCAGGCATCAGCTGATAATGACAACTTTGATGATCTTGTGTGCAAGGCCAAGATACCAAGGTCTTCATAGCCTCTTGTGGCAGCTGCCAAGCTGCTAACAAAGTGGCTAGGGGCATTAATGCACATTTCTCTCTTTCTATGTCTCTTGTAAAGGCAGCTGAAAAGTTAGCAAAAGAGCCACAAGATAATGGTGCAGGCATATATGAAGGAGAGTAATATGCTAAAACAGCATAGAATATGCCACATCTTTACCTTCTCACTGATAGAGCAGTAGTACTTACTATTTCTCACTGCTAATCAAAGACTTCATGGTGTGGAATTAGTGCTAATATCATAAAATCAGAAACTATCTTTTTAGCCATAGAAAGAGGTGGTTCCCAATTTGGAAATTAAATCCAATGCTCACAAGGTGTTGCTCCTAATTAGGAAATTAGACACTTTTAGATGCTATTAACACTTTTGGATATTTTTAGATACTATTAGATATAATCCAGAGCTAATGCAAAGGGGTGGTTTTCTAGATATGCCTGGTAAGCCCTCTTTCTTTATAATAATGCATACTTGCACTAACCATTGTTTAAGGGTTTCTACTGTAAAAAATGCCTACATCTATAGAATAGAGCATAGTACTCCTCAAAATCTTTTATGGCTAGTCAGTTCTATACTTACTAGCAAACTTATCTAGGAGGCCTTCTTCCTTCATAGCCTTATGTGACAGCCATGACAAATCTGAATTTCTTGTTCTTAGTGATGGTTCTTAACTGGATCACCTCTATAAAGCCCTTAAAGCCCAGAAAACTGCAATGATTGGCCTAGGACAAAAGCTATGAAACCATGCATATGAGCAGTGTTATACCACTGAAGAAAGAAGCAGCAGTATTTATATGTTTAGACCTTGTTTTTATTTATTTATCTAATCCTTTTTTGTATGCAGATGCTTTTTGTGCCATTGTCTATGATAGAGTGATAGTGGGACACCTATGCTATACCTACCACAACTATTAACAACCCCTTTCAGCTTAATAAGTAAAATATTGTGCCAAGCACTCTTGGAAAGAAAGTGTCTATTATGTTATAATTTGTAGCAGACTAATTGAGCATGGGTTTTAGACCTATAACCTACTAGACCATTGTGTATTCAAAAAATATAGTGTTAAGGAACATTCCACCATATTTAAGCTATAAAAGCACCTTAAATGTTGAAAGGCCATACTTATTAAGGACTTGATGGATATTAATAGACTAGAGGCAGATCCTATAACTTTTATGGCTAATAATAATGCCACCAAGATTAAAGAGCTAATTGTCTATGCAGAAAAGTCTTCAATAGGCAATATCTGATTACATGCCTAATTTAGGTATTCAAGGATCTACAGTGAGCAGCTTTATATTATAATGTATAGAGTTATTCTCAGATGAGCAATGTTTTATGGCTTAGAGGTAGTAAATGATATCTGTATGAGTATCTCTCTTAAATTGCATTGCTCTATGCTAATTGTTGTAATAGTTATTTCCATATATGCTATTTTTAACCATACAATCCCTTTCAAATGTTATCTTCTACAACAACAACTGCCATCTCAAATAGCATATCACAAAGCTCAATGATCAATATTTTGTATCATATGCTCTTTTTATTGATATCTTTCACATGAAGTCAAAGTATAAAGAGTGAGATGAGTTTTGTGGTCAATATTGCAATCCAGCTCTCTTTGAGGAATTAATGGTAGGTGGTAAGTGGTGGTTTAACTCATCTATAGTAGAGATGACAAATATGTGGTTTGGGAGCTTTTATTTTATTGTACACAAAATGTATAAGGACCACTATGATTTCTTTTTAGATAGAATAATCAGATGATGGAATGCCATAATTATTGATGGTCTTTATTCTTATAATGTCATATGCTACTAGATACCTAGTTTGTCCTTATTTGCATAGTATCATTGTTTCAACTGTACTATAAACACATCACAAAAACCATTAGAATTCTATTTAAATGTAAAGTAAATAAAATTGTGTCTACATTGTATTGAAGATTAGGCAGAAATTGTACTATAGAGGGGTCAAAAAATAAGGGGCATAAAAACATGGGTACATAATTATTTCATGAAAACATACATCTCACTATCTATAACTATCCAACTCTGGCTTAGAGGGTAAAGTAAGAGAGCTTCTTTAGAGTGGTTTGCAATGTTCATTCCCTATAAAACATTATCTACAACCCTAGAAAACACTTTGATACTATGTATAAGGCCCTGTAGATTGTAAAAGTTGAGATTGTCATTGACTGGATAAGTGGCTAGTTTATAAGAGGAGCTTATATTCTTTACCTCTATAGTGTACTCTTATGAACATTTGAGGTCTTTCTGGATAAGTAAGATTGTCACCTCTAGAATAATCATGTAATTCATAAAATCAAATGCAAGAATTATCCATATTATTTGATTATGGATAAGATTGAATAATATGATTAAGCTTTAATAAATAAGTTCCTTCTCCCTAAGTCCATAGCTATTAAGGTGTTAGCAATCAGAAACTAATACAAGAGAATAAACAAAATATACTATCCAGTCCCTATGTTCTCAAAAGACCCATATTTACCTACTATACTTAACATATTCTTGCTATTTATTGTCACAATCAACTCCATAAGCCCATTGTAGAATGAACTAGAAGTTTGGTCCAATATTATCAAGCACAGTGTAATATAGTTATTAATAATATAATAGGAAATAATAGAGAAGTTGACACTTGGCCAGTATCCCAGTGAGTTGCTAGCTTGTTCAATTGCTTATAGCTCAAGTCTATGGCATTTACAGTGCTCACCAGTTCTATAATAAGAATGGACCTTATAATGGTGATAGTTGGTGTTATTGGAGATGCCACTATAGGGATTGGGTACACTAATAGTATCTAGTACCCTACAGAGTTCCTAAAGGGTTGCCAAAGGATTTCCTGGGTAAGGCTTATCATTATAGGGATATAAAGATTTGTTATTAGGTTTGTCATTATTCCACAACTCATTCCCTTTATACTATATTATGGATAGGCTCCCAAATAAGTCTCCTTTTTTTGCTTGGGTATATTATAAGTTGTTTAGGATCTTCCATCCAAGGGTACTTCCAATTGAATTCCTTCTCTTTCATAATTTTTTTTTGAGTAGAACATCATCTGTAGTCACATTTATCCTATCCTTTAGTCTTTCTATCATTCTCTTGAGCCTTTTAGCCTTAGCAATCAATTCTGTGTATTATATAACAAAGTGAGTCCAAGTTCCAAATTCTAAGTGTCCTAGCTTCTAAAAAGCAGCCTTAAGGTCTTGGCTATCCAAATAAGTCTTTATTGCCTTATTGTACATTGAATTTGTATATAGCTCATTATGAAAAACCTGCTTAAAGGCAACCTTCTACATAATGTGTGGCTTTTATTATTTGGACAAGGCAGTCATCTCTGCAATGCCATCAAATATATTAACCACATAATAGAAGGATGGTTATATGCAAACTTTGCTTTAAATCCTTTGAGAGGCAATAGGATACTTCTCATTAATAGAAGTATTGTCAATGGTATTATTATACAAATAAGAGAGTTGTGGAGCCTGGAGTAGATGAGCTATATAATCTAGTGAAATTACTACCAACTTTGATATTGCCTTGGGCTGAACCAATATGTGGTCCTCTTTAGTTTCCTCAAGACCAAAAGAATCCTTACTCTCAAGTATTGTTGATTATACAAGCTTTGGAGGTAGGGTCACTAGCTGTACAGGATTTAAGAGTGCTAATAGTAAACTAGATACTTTTCCTCCTCTATTATGTAAAAGATCACACACCTCTACTTCAATCTAGCTTAGGTGTCTGGACAAGATCAGATGGCCAGCTTATTGTCAATGTCTATTATTGGCCTTGAGAATAAGAGAGGATAAGAGTTTTGAGACCATACTTTATACTAAGTAGACTGATTAAGGATAGATACTAATAGTATTTGTTTGGCTTTGCTAAAGGTCAAACTAGGCTTATAAAAGCTTGGAAGGCTGAAAAGCCTCTTCCTAGGACTAAGTTTTAGTGTAGAGTAAATGTTATAATAGGCCTGTCTAGGCAATCTTAAAGTGCTAGCTACAGGCTTAAGTAGGGCTATGCATATATGCTTTGGTGAGTTTTGTAAAACTCCTTTATTATTAAATAGTGTCTAACATCTTTAAACAAAATGTCTAAGCTTAGACTTAAAGTTATGTTACAGTTTTATCCTAGGATAAAACCTTGGATAAACTTTAAGTTTTTGTTTCAGTAATTTCTACAAACAAACTTAAATAAAAACTTTATTAATATCTAGGGTTTTATTTATGGTTTATTCTGGGAAAAACCCTGTCATGCATATAGTAAAATCTCTACATTTTGTATAGTCTTACTTAGTCTTATAATTCTTGATATTGCTGTCTCTGTCTGATCTTATCAATAGTGTTTGTTAAGACCTAGTCTTCACATGTGATATATTAAAAGGCTCCTAAGTCACTAAGAATAAGTGCCAAATCCAAGCATGTCTAATATAGATACCAACAGCTACTTTGATGCATAGAATATAGCCAAGAATGAGATATTAACTAAGTAATTAAGAATAATAATAGAGAGAAGCACAAGTATAGGTTAAACCAATATTATAATAATAGTCCTCTTAATAATTAAAGAATTAGCTTATTAGCAAAGGTTTAGATACTAACAAGATAGGGCTAGTACCAAGTGTTAAGGAAAGAACAGGTAGTAGGTAACAAAGGTCTTTAGCTTATTCTATATATACTATAACTAGTTTAGAATAAGATTGAAAAAAGGTCTATACTTCTAAAGGTAAACAAATACCTAGCCAATGAGAAGAGAAAGTAAGCCAAACTATTGGAATATTGAATATAGAGTGATCAATGATTGAGATCTATAAGCAATAATAAAATATAGGTATTACTAAGTTAATTGGTCTAAGAATAAATATTAAGGTAATTGTTTGTTAGTAAAGTCAAGAGGTTGGTCACTAGGTATAGGTCACCTCTAATAGTCAAACCCTAGATCAGGGTTTTAGCAAGGTCTTAGAGCACATGTTATATAATCATATATTCATCAATTATGTGTTACAAGCTAGCTCTTAATATTTTCTAATATAAGAAACTATTGCCTATAAGAAACCATTGCCATATATAGTTCTTTCCTATAGTAATCTCTTTGTGAAAGGTTTTGCCACATACATTCTTTCCTATAATGTGCTTTATTTCTAGTAAAGAATTCCTGCATTAGGATCTTCTCATAATCTGCCAGAGTATTGCCGCATATGACTCTTTCCTATAGCAATATTTTTTTAGAAGGTTTTGCCATATGCTTTTCTATAATATGTTTCATTTCTAGTGAGAATTCCTGTATTTGGCCTTTTTTATGCTCTGGGCCATTAGCAAACTAGGAAGTGTCTAGACATAGCACCTCTATACTACCAGTACTCTTTATAGCTCTATAAATAGTTATGGTATGAAGTTAAATGGCATCTTACTGGCCAACCACACATCTTCTTAGCAAGAGTAAAGAGGGCCACAAATACTAGAAATAGTTACACACTAGGAATTATTAGCATGGACTTTAGAAAACAAGGCACACTAAGAATTAGTGGGAATGGTGAGATTAAAGTACCTAAATAGTTTAGGACTACACCAAAGATTGGCCAAATATTTAGTCAGCAGCTACATGGGTTTGTTTAATAATAAGGGTAGTACCACAACTAGTAACTATGTGCTTTAAGAGCTATATAGGGCTCTAACAATATATAATGGAGGATAAGAGATATAACTAAGTAAACAAGTACAAATATGAACAAAGCCTAAATAGTAATAGTGACAAGTTTTGGAAAGCTAACAAGAATAATGTCAATAGTTAAGATAAGTATAAATAAGCTCTGAATTGTGGGGTGTAGAAGCTGCTCTATTCTAGAGTTGTGTGTAGGCTTTTATAGTAATAGGAGTCTCTAAGTAAAATATTGAACAAGAAATAAGAGTAAGTGCTAAATAGGTGCCAAGATCTAGCAAGTATTAAACATAAAAAGATAGGGGAAATGTCTATATAGGTTCCAAAGGCAATAAGGTAAAAGTCTATTAAAAATAATGAAATTCCAAATAAGTAGTATCCCATGTCTAAGTATATATAGCACAAATGTGTATTCTAGAGCTAATAAAAAGAGATAAAAAGTAAACATGCACTTTGTGTAACCAAGCAATAATGCAAGATTGTGTTTATCTAAACATATGGAAATTGTGAAGATAAGAGATAAGCACTAACTAGATACAAATAACATTGGCCAATTGGCTTGTCTAATCCTAATACCATGATAGAATATTATAAAGCTCCTTTGGTGACTCTTGTATATGGTGGGCACATGAAGTATGCATAAACTGACCTAACTACTGCCAAATATTCTTCAGTAGTTCAATGTCCTTTGAGTAAAGGCTAATTGTCTTTGGCCTAAGCTAGCATCTTCAGTACTCTTCTAGGGTCATTTGGGTTCTATCCTAAAGCTTTCCAAATACCTCTCTTAGATCCCAGAGTAGGTACATGCTTATCACTATAGTGTGACAGAACCTCACAATCTACAAGCACTTTTGTACATGGATTTGCTTTATCTCCCACTTTTCCTGTCTTAGTGTAATGTTACTTATACTTAACCTTATAATTTTATGTTTGCTCTACCTATTTCAAATTTTACTATAAATACCTACTTATAACTCTATAATATACTGGTTTTGAATACCCCTCTGTTTAGAGCTCAACTTTGTAAAAAGATCTCACTTATATTACTAACCATTGTTATCACCATCACTTTACTTGCTTAGTCCTTGCACTATTATTGCTACTATTATTAGGGCCTTTGTTGCTGCCCTTAAAGTTATCTGGGTCAATTGTGATTTAGAATTGTGTATCTTGTACTTATTAAGCTAGAGGCTTATCACATGCACTAATACACTTAAGAAAGGTTTCCTAAGCTATTTAGATTATAAGGCCCCAATAAATAAAGACAATAGGTCATCTTTAAGCTTGCAAGAGGAAGTTAGAATCACTGTCTACTTTATCTTCAAAGAGATGAAGCAAATAGTCTTCAAGAATATCTTGGTGTTTGGTAGAAATAGGACTATCTTCTCCAGTCCAACAAATAACTCTAGAAGGTACCCAACTAAGAATACAAAAGGCAGCAAGTCCTTCATATGTTGTAGAGATTAGAGAGTAATAAAAGAGTAGAGACAAGTCTAGTGCTTTGTTAGATAATATAAGAATGGCTCAAATCTAATAGTTCTAATAGTACTATCTTGTGTATAGTTGCATACTTCAAGTATTAAGCTAGAGGCTTATCATGTGCACTAATCTACAAAGAGGGATTTCTTAGGCTATTTGGATCATAAGGCCTCAATATATTAAGACAATGGATCTGTCCTTAGGCTCACAAGAGGAATTTAGGATCACTATTTGCTTTGTCTTTGAAAAGATAAAGCAGATAATATTCAAGGATGTCTCAATGATCAGAGGGAAGATGGTGGTCTTCTTCTGTCCAACAAATGACTCTGGGTAGTACCTAGCTAAGAGTGCAAAAGACTGTAAGTCCTTCATATGTCATAAAGACTAGAGAATGCTAAGAGAGTAGAAATGAGTTCAGTGCTTTATCAGACAATGTAGGAATACTCAGATCTGACAGAGTTCACAAAGTATGAGCTTAGAAAGGTAAGCCAGACACAGGGAGCAGTATAAAGATCAAGTAGTATACAAAGTAAATAAGCTAAGCTCCTTAAAAGCTCATCTTGGCTATAAGTACATACAAGCTATTTAGGGCAGGATTGATATCTGGTCTGTGTGCCTAAAGCTACTCTGATAGGTGTCAAGGTACAGAAGTGATCAAGTAAATGATCAAGAGCAGTAGGCCATGATTTACAATGTATCTATATATAGTAATCATCTGTTCACATGGAATGGCTTTGCAGTAGCTCTAACTCACAATTGACATGTACTGAGATATGGAGGACTTTTTTACGATTTTTTTTACGATTTTTTGCGACTTTTTTAGAGGTCTGATGATATTTTCAGTAGGAAAACACCCAGTACGAAAGGCATGATTATGAATTTATGATATGGAATGAAATAGCACCGCAGGCCTCCCAAAAAGTTTGGTAGTTGACCCCTTTTGGCCAATCATACATCTAGTAGTATTATTGGGAGTCTTCCCGCGGTGCTCTGTTAGGTAGGTCTCGGCTCAGGAATCCGGGTTTTCTCTAATGCAACTCTCTGGAATTCCGAATCTGCAATCAGAGTTCAGAAAATCGGTCCCGTTCTGGCTCTGTGAATTTATTTTGAGTTTGTCGACTTTGGCTGTCCGCAGCTGTAGTGTGAATGGTGTTAGGGTGTTGTCTGGTGTAATCGTGCTTGTCAAAGATCAAAGGCAAGGCACCCACTTCCGAGTTCCACACTCGTCCCTCTCATCGGATTCTATTCTCTTAGCTCTGCGCCTATTTCCATAACACTTCCTACAAGTCACCGTACTGTACACACATGATGTGAAATAACACGAAATACACAATTCCTATCCAGTGCACGGACCGGGACCGACGCGGACCGACGCGCGCGCTCACCAGCCGTTCTTCTCACCCTCCGCGCCCAAGCGCCTGTACTCCTCCTTCCTGACGCGCTCCTCGCGGTGGCGGCGGACGGCGGTCAACGTGCGGCCGATGGCCTTGCTCGGGAGGCGCATGGACGGGTGGCGCGAGGCCCACGTGCGCTCCTTCTCGGGCTCGCCGCGCGCGGGGGTGGCGTTGGGGTTGGGGGCGGCGTCGGCGTCACCTGTGGAGGCGGCGCGGCGGGACTTGCCGGCGCGGAACGGCGACGGGGGGAGGTGCGAAGAGGACGGCGGCGGGGGCGGCGGGGCGGGGGCGATGAGGCTGGGCGGGAGGATGTCGGCGAAGGTGGAGGGCGCGCTGGGGGAGCGCGTGTGTCCGTGCGCGCGGCGCGCGGGCGGAGGGGGCTTTGTGGCGACGTCATCGTCGTCGTCGGAGCTAAACTCCGAGTTGAGCGGGGAGCCGGCGGGAGCGTCGCCCGCGAAGAGGGCGGGCCTGTCGTATGCGGGCTCTGCGGGGTTCAATGGCATTGTGTGAGCGAGCGGGGTCACGAGGAGAGAGAGAGAGGAGGACGCACTAGCGGTGTGCTTGCCCGACACTTTGCTGCCCAGCGGAGCGAGGGCGTCGGCGGCGGTGATGGGGACCATCACGCCGTATTCCTCGCCGGGAGCACCGATGTAGCGGCGGCCGTGCGTGTCTTGGAACATGTACCGGGTGGTGTCTGCGTCGTACGCGATGCGGGTGATGCCCACTGGGAGTCGAGTCGAGTCCTTTGACATCGTGATGAAAGTGATGTGAGAAGCGTCGCGAGGGAGGGAGAGGACTGGAGGGTGAGACATACTCCGTCGAATTGAGACCAGCGGCCCATGGTGTGCGATGAGATGTCGAGGGGATGCGAGCGCAGTGAGGTGTGTGGGAGTGGTTATGAAGAGAAGAGAGCGGTGGCCTCGTGCTGGTGGCACGGCGAGTAGCAACACGATTGGGGGCGTCATCTCGCTACGGCTCTTATAACCAGGTCAAGCGCCCTAGAACACAGCGAACAGGATCACCGGATCTGCGGCAGGGCATGAGAGGATGATGGAGGGGACGCGAAGCAGACGGCGAGTGTGATCTGGGGTGTCCATGGCGGCTGTGCGCCGCTTCCCCGCCGTCTGCTGAGCCCTTCGAGTTCGCAGGCCGTCCGACGCCACCGAGCTCCCCGATTAGGTGCATCGCCAAGCACCGCCAAACACCGCGCGTGGGTGACGCGTCTTGCTCGTCCCCGCACACAGCGTCCAGCCCTCCGTCCTCTCCGTCCCCTCCGTCCCCCACACACCCTCCCCACCATGCCGCTCGAAGCCACCATGATCGTGATCGACAACTCCGAGTACATGCGCAACGGCGACTACGCCCCCACCCGCTTCGGCGCACAGAGCGAGGCCGCGATCACCCTCTTCCAGGCCAAGGTCGACTCCAACGCCGAGAACACCGTCGGCATCATGACCATGGCCAGCAAAGGGTCCGCCCCTCTCCCCCTCGCCGTCGTCTGCTCGCCTCGCTGACGCTGCCCACAGCCCCGAAGTGCTCGTGACACACACGAAGCACGTCGGCCAGATCCACGCCGCCCTCCACGCCTCCTCCTCCCGCATAGGCGGCGTCGCCTCCATCCCCACCGCCATCGCCATCGCCCAGCTCGCCCTCAAGCACCGCCAGAACAAGAACCTCCGCCAGCGCGTCGTCGTCTTCGTCGGCTCCCCGCTCGAAGGCCCCAACGCGGACGAGCACGCCCTCGTCCGCCTCGCCAAGAAACTCAAGAAGAACAACGTCGCCGTAGACGTCGTCGCTTTCGGCGACGGCATCGAACAGTCCGGCGACGGCGGCACCAGCATCCTCCGCGCCTTTGTCGAGGCCGCCTCCAGCAACGACAACTCGTGCGCGCCGTCCGATCCCTCCACCTGACCCGTTGACGCATGTCCCCTTCCTCGTAGACATTACATCGCTGTGCCCCCAGGCCCCCACTTCCTGTCCGACATCCTCGCCACCTCCCCCATCCTCGCCGGCGACTCCCTGATCCCCGAGCTCGCAGGCGACGCAGGCGCAGCAGGTGCAGGCGCCGGCGGATCCGGCGCAGGGGCGGGCGGCGCCGCGCCCTTTGATTTCGGCATCGACCCCAGCCTCGACCCGGAGCTCGCGATGGTCGGCGCTTTCTCCCGTCCAGGCGTTCCCCTCTGATCTGCGTTACAGGCCCTGCGCATGTCCCTCGAGGAAGAGCAGGCGCGGCAAGCGGCCGCGGCCGCGCAGTCCTCTTCCGCATCGACCTCCGCTCCCGAACCCGCTGCCGCCGCTGGACCCGCGTCATCAGCGGCCCCAGCGCCGCCAACAGCCCAGCCCGCGCACGCATCGGAAGACGAAGAGGACGCGCTGCTCCAACAGGCGCTCGCGCTGTCCGAGGGGCGGGACGTCGAGATGGCCGATGGTGGCGCGGCGCCCGCAGGCAGTGCTGCGCCAGACGAGGACGACGAGATGAGCGAGGAAGAGGCGATCGCGCGGGCGATCGAGATGAGTATGCGGGGTGAAGAGGAGGGCGAGAAGAAGTAGCTAGACCCGTGTATATTTTTTTGGTCCCGCGATGACTACATTCAATGCAGGCCCTCTCACCTCGCGCTTGCGGTCTGGTCTGTCAATTGGACGGGCGGCGAGGTCGTAAGGTATAATAAGACTGTACAGGTAGATGACCGCCGCAGCATCGCAAAAATCGCCCTTTTCCATCGCCCGCGCGTGTATGTAAAAGAAAAATGCCAGCTTGTCTCTCTCTATCGTGGTTGCTCTTCACGCGTCGTCTGCCGTCTTGGGGGCCACGTTCCACGGGCCGGCGTCGCTGAGGCTGCAGCCGCCGGGGCAGTCGCAGAGGCCGCCAAACTCCTTGGGGAGGTTCTCCCTTGGGATCTGCTCGAGCAGCTTGTCCTTGTAGCCGCTGCCGAGGATGTCGATCTTGGCGACGGTGGCCTCGTCGAGCCAGGGCTTGATGAGGCTCCAGACGGCGCCGAACGCCCACGGGGCGTTGATGATGAAGAACTTGCCCATCGTCTCCGGGTAGCGGTCCTGGCCGATCGCGCTGGCGGCCATGACGTAGTCCTTGACGCGGTAGAAATTGGAGAGCGAGACGGAGGCGAGGTCGAGGATGGTGCAGCTGGTCTCGACGGGGTGGCCGATGGCGGCGGAGCAGGCGGGGAGGCGGGAGCGGAGGAAGCGCTCGTACTCGACGACGAGGCGCTGCAGCTGGCGCTCCTGGGTCGTGAGGGCGTAGAGGGCCTTGATGTCGAGCTTGCCGAGGCGCTCGACGTAGATCGGGCGGCCGTCCTGCGTGCGTCGATGAGTCGGCGGGAGAGCGAGCGGCGCGCCGCGGCGGACGCACCTTGTCCATCTTGTGGTAGTACTGCGGGTAGTACTTGTCGACTTCGGCCTTTTCGGGGAAATCAAAGTTTCTGTGGCGGGGCGGGGACGGGGTCGAGGACGGGGTCAGGGAGGGGCGCAGCGGGGCGGGAGAGGGGAAACGGGGGCACGTACTCGACGAGATCGTCGACGCCAAAGTCTTTCCGCCAGGCCTCGGCGCTGAGGATCATCTCCTTCGCCTTTTGGACGTCGAACTTGCGCGCGCGCAGGAACCTGGGCGGCATCAGCACGGCGATCGGGCTGTGCACACGAGGGGCGGGGCGCGCGGACGCACCTGAGGAGCGTCGCGTCGTCCATGCGGTCGGGGACGAAGGCGCCCTCGGCCTGGAGCTCCTTCTTGAGGGTGTCGAGCGCGTGCTGCTGGGGCACGGAGAGGTTGCCGAGGCGGCCGGGGAGCGGCTTGTAGTTGGGGTCGGTGATGCCGTCGGGGAGCGGGGACGCGCTCGCGGCGGTGGGTGCTGGGGTCGACATGGCGGTGTGTGTTTGGGGCGGTGGAGGGTGTGCTGTGAGGATGCGCGGGTGAGCGAGCGGACGAGGACAAGGGGAGGAGATCAGAGGCGGATGGGCTGCGATAGCGCTAGTGCGTGCGCGCAGGGCGCGGGCTCGCCCATTATAAGCGGCGAGTGGCACCGCGTGCGTCGGTCGCACACAGGCGGATGCAGCCCGGTCGCGTACGGACACGCCGCGACGATGCGCGCGAGGCTCACCTTCTTGTGCCGTTTTTTTACGCGGAACGGCGAGCAGCAGTCGGAAACGAGGTCGACAACACGCGCCCTTGCCTTTTCGGGCGGAGTTCGTCGCACACGGGCACTGGGAAACTCGCCCCGCGTGCGTTGACCCTTCCTCGCCGCTGCGCCAGTTCTGCGCGCAACACCCGCACTCGCCTCGTCAAATTCGGATCAGTGGCCACGACGGTTGTTGGCTCCTACAGGCGGCCCACCGGCGGCGCTGTTCAAACCACTGCCTTGCTCGCGTCGAGACGTGCTGGAGCAAGCCAACCTCCGCAACTCGAGGAATTGCTCTTGTCTACGGCTAGTATCACACTTCGAGCGGCCATCGGGTGCCCCATCCATCGACCACGGGTCCTCTCACTCCACCGACCATTCTCCAGCGGGTGCTCAAAGATGCCGTCCAGTGACGTGATCATTCATGATTCTCATTATCCCTGTCGGATGCTCAACACTCGACAGCACGGCATGCAGCGTCATGCCTAACTGGCTCTCACGTTCGTGCGTGCGGCCATGTTTCGAGTACCCGACCGAAGGACGTTCCTTCAGCTGCTTGCTTCTGTAGCACTCGCCCGTGACCGACTTTAGGGTATTCGTGCAAGCGTGGAAACCCCACAGATCAGATTGCCTTGGCTTCAAAAACCAGCTGCCAGTGGGTCCTGCGAGGGATACGCGCAGCTTGTTGGCCATTACACCACCATGTCGCTTGCTCTACTTGAAGTCTCCGCTGCCGGCGAAGATCTCGATTCCTTCCACCTGGCCACGATTCCGAGCCATTCAGCAGACGTGCCCTATTTCCTGCGCTCTCTGCACGAGGCAGGATCTTCCGACCGAAACTTGCTCGCAGCATCGCTCCTGGACGCGCTCCGATCAGGTCTGCCTCTCGACAGCTGCGCCGCGCTTCTTTCTGCTGGCCTTCACACCGTGTACGTCGATAGCCTGACGAGCGAGGACGTCTATCGCAATCCAAGGACATCCTCCTTCACGTCCTCGCCGAGCGCTGACGTGCGCGGCCCGTCCGATGGCGCATTCCACTGCCCAACAGCTGCAAACGTTTCGCGAGAAGGTAGTCGCGGGTCCGATCAGGCCATAGGCAGCACGTCCGTCATGACGCAGCTCGTTGCGCGGAACGTCGAACTTTGGGCGGTCATATGGTCCCAGCGCAGCCTCCCGTAGGACCAGTCTGAGCGTGGTGTGCGGTATCTCGAAGCCCTCCGGCGGCTCAACGTGTCGTGGATCATGATGTTCATATCGAGGCAAGCGAACGCTCGGCTTGTCTATCAGCAAGGGCCCCGCGATGCGCCCTCTGCAGACGCGCCTTGGGCACACCGCGATCCATCGCTGGCAGTATCTCCAGTACTCGCCGCTCGGCGTGGGCACGTTCCCCGGCGACAATCCACTCGTCGCATTGATGACGCTGTTCTCGCACGCCCCGACGGAGGACAGGAACCAGCTCGTCCAGGAGGCCGTCGTGGACACTTTTGGCTCCCGGGCCTTCATTCAGGGGCTCCAGCGCGCGTTGGACGATCCTACGATTTTGGATGACAATCTACAGCGCCGACCTTGAGTACTTTGAGTCGGACAAGTGTGCGCGCTGGGAGGAGTTGCAGAAGAGGCGCGCTTGCGAAGGGGAAGGAGATGCCGCCCCGTCGTCGCCGCTGTCGCCACCGCCGGCGATCTATTGCAACTGGATTGGGTGTGAGTTCCATCGGAATATACCTGAGCACCCAATGATGCTCTGCACGCATTGCGTGCAGAAGTATTACTGTGGCCGTGAATGTAAGACCAAGTGAGTCTGCGAACTGCTCGTCCGGGATGGCTTCTGACGAGTCTGTGACTTCATACAGTGATCGGCAACATGCTCGCCATACGCAAGTCGGCGGTGCCCTCTACAAGCAATAGTAGTCGACGTCGGAATGCTGGTCGGAGGGACCCACGACAAAATGTAGAATTAAGCACGTGGTCTAGCATACCATTGGTTGTACAGTTGCGCTCTCGCTTTGCTCGGGCAAGGAAGACATGTTACCAGGACGGACAGTATAGCAATAGCTACTTGCGACATCATGAGGACCTGAAAAGAGAGCCCATCGGACCTCTGCAACAGTGTCGGCCGGCCGGGCGCGAGCTGACGCTGTTTCTCCTTTATTTGTGTTTTGAATTTGAAGCGCCTGCTATCAACAGAATTTCAGACACATAACCTACTTATCGGGAAATTCCGGAGTTCGTGCTCTACGCTCTGCAACCCTCCTTAGGCTTGCGCTACACAGCGAGTATGGCGTCGGCGACAACAGCATCCCAGGAGGAACTCAAGACGAACAAAGTCCCCATCGCATGGCGCGACCAGTGCTCCGCGTAGGCCTCGTCTCTCCCGCTTTCCGGCACCTTGCTCACAGGTCGAACCGTTCTCGCATCGTGCGTGTCGCTGACTTGCTCGCGCGCAACGCCGGTAGACTCCTCATCCCGCTCAACGTCTGTCGGAAGGACAAGTACTACCTCCCATGGGAGTGCGAAAACGAGCGGCACGCGTACGAGAAGTGCGTCCCATCTGTTTCTCGTTCCCTCTCACCGCGGCTGACCGACCGCCGTGCCAGATGCCAATACGACGAGTGAGCGCCGTACCTCTGCGAATGTTGCCCATGGCTGACGTTTGACCGCTTCTTTCGCAGCTACGTGCGCCGGATGAAGGCCCTCGCGAAGCTGAAACAGCAGGAGAGCGAAGCGGCGGCGGCATAGTAGACTTGTTGTAGATGCGCCCCATCATTGCGCGTGGCAAATGACCCTTTGCGCCGCTGCTTTCTTCTCCTAATGTTTGTGTGGATGGTATGTAATCCCGTCAAACGTGGTGAGGGGTGGTGAGAATTGAATTAGCGAGAGTATGGTACACGATGCTCGGATGTCATGCGCGACTATCCATGAGGTAAGTATGCTCAGAGTGGTGGTGTGGAAACGCAAGCTACAACGCCAAGGCATGGAGTCCATCACACTACACGCCCCTTCTCCGCCCTCCACTCCTCCACCTCCTTCTTCACGCGCTCCACCACATCCCCCGCCTCGCTCGACTTTCCAAACGCATCGACGAACTTCCCATCCGGGTCCATGAAATAGAAGAAGATCGAGTGATCGACCAGGTAGTCGTCCCCGGGCTGGGCATCTTTCGGCGTCGAGAAGTAGACGCGGTAGGCCTTGCACGCGGCTTTGGCAGCGGCGTAGGTGCCTGTGAGCCCGACGAGGCGCGGGTGGAAGTCGGCGACATAGCGTGCGACCTGCGGTACGGTGTCGCGCGCGGGGTCGACGGAGATGAAGATAGGCTGGACGATGGGGCCGTAGGCTTTGTCTGTACGCGGCATACGGATATGCGCACGAGACAAACAAATTAGAAATCAGGGAGAATTGCTCCGTCCGGCGGGTTGTGAAATGTGTGTACGCACCGATCTCGTCGACCGCGGCGCTCATCTTGTCGAGCTCGTCAGGACATATGTCCGGGCAATTCGTGAAGCCAAAATAAATCAGACTCCACTTCCCGAGCAGGTCCTTTTCCGTGAACGGATTGCCCTCGTGCGTCAGCATCTCAAACGGCCCACCGACGTGCGCGCGCCCGACGGAGCGGGACTCCTTCTCTTTTTCTGTGGAAAGTTTTGGTTGTGATCATATTTCTAGCAGACGAGGGGCAGGAGAGGGCATGCTCACCTTTGGCTTCGAGCAGGCGCTGCTTCTCCCAGCGGAAGTAGAAGAAGAGGCCTGCACCCGCGAGGACGAAAAGCGCAGCCGCCTTGGGCGTGAACACCTATTCGCACCATTTGTCAGGCTGCAGGCCGCAAAGTAGACAGACCGGCCCTGTTCTCTACCCAGGCAAGGAAGACGGCGACACGGCACGCACCCCAACTGTCGCTTTATCCCGCTCTCCGGCCGGCGTGGTGTTCTTCTGCGAGTACGCACGTCTTCCACTGATGTCTGGCCCCCTCTGCGTCTTCTTGAGTGCAGCGGACCTAAGAGTCGAAGCTGGAGCGCGAGGTACAACGGATGCGCATGTTGGCCGTAGCAGCGACGAGCATGCCCGGAGTTGACGGTGTTGTGGTTGTGGAACTGCGAGGGAGGTGCGGGCGCGCGGGAGGGCGCGAGAGATGTGTTGGAGGGAGGAGTGCATGGGTAGCAGCGGTTACTTGTAATTTGCTTCATTCGCACGCGCGTCTGCAGTGGCGCGTTTAGATTCCGGGTTACTTCGGGCAACGTTCGGGCATAGCCACTTCGCCAGACTGATGCAAATAGACTCGTACATCACGATATCAAGAATGTTGAAGAATTGAAGCTTGAAGCATGACATGGAGGAAACCGATCGACATAACAAGGTACGGCCTGGCAGTCTCCATCTAGCTCTTAAGATGAATCGACAAATGAACATAGCCATTCCTCTTTCCTGGTAGGAACATCCCGCACAGGCTACAATCAGGTAAAAAATGGAAATGCCAACCGCGTCCATGCACTCGAGAACGATTACGAGTCGAAGCATAGGGAGGTGCAGATTCACAAGTCACGCTGCTAAGGGAACATACATTGCTGGTGACTTGCTGGCGGTGCACATTGTATATGACAGAATTGACGATGATCTAGCAAGTTGTGCGGTGTTGGTGATATACGGGAGGAAAATCCATGTTTTCACGAATAAAAGGGGAAGAAGCCTCGAGATCGAAGCCAGACAGGAGATAAGATAACACGTTCTCGCATGGAAGATCGTATATGTAGCCGCACGCCGCCCTGAGCTGAGCCTTGTGCACCCCTCTCTTCCTCCCCACCACCACCCGCTCACGCAAGGCCCACCAACGCCCCCTTCTCCCGCGCCAGCCAGCACCATCAACCCCAAAATCGCACATTCGTAGCCATGTCCGCCCCCGCCAAGCCCGCATACACGCCCCCGTCCTCAGTCATCACCCTCACGCCCACCGCGCAGCTCGAGGCGCTCTACACCATCATCCGCAACAAGGACACCCCGCGCGGCGATTTTTTGTTTTACTCGGACCGCATCATCCGCCTGCTCGTCGAGGAAGGCCTCAACCACCTCCCTGTCGTGCCGAAGACTGTGGAGACCCCTACGGTGCGTGTCGCGTGCGCGACGTATCTGCGCGTCTCCTGCGGGCGAGGGGCGTGTCAACGACGTGAGCTGACTTGCGGTGCCGCGGGTATCTAGGGCGCGACGTACGAAGGCGTCGGGTTCGAAGGCAAGATCTGCGGCGTGTCTATTCTGCGTGCTGGAGAGGTGCGTCCCTGCGCACAACCGACCAATTTTTTGTTAATCGGGCATGTGCCACACGGGCCTCGCTAGGCGATGGAAGCGGGCCTCCGCGAGGTATGTCGCAGCGTGCGGATCGGGAAGATCTTGATTCAGCGGGTGAGTGTCCTGTCTCCTTTTCTGTAGCAATTGATTGAAAAAATAAACGGGTGTAGGATGAAGAGACGACGCTACCAAAATTATTCTACTCCAAGGTCTGTTTTCCATCTCAATACTTGCGCGGTCCTGTCTGACTGTATCGCTAGCTCCCGCAAGACATTTCGTCGCGATATGTGCTATTGCTGGACCCGATGCTTGGTGTGCTCTCCTTCCCGTTGTCGTCTAAATCCATACAGGAGAGTGCAATTAATTGTTTTGTGCGCATGCAGCAACGGGAGGCTCGGCTATGAAGGCTGTAGAGGTCATCATGGAGCATGGTGTTCCTGAGGAGCGGATCATCTTCATCAACTTGGTACGAAACGTCGCTCAGAACTCAACTCAAGCGAAGACCGTTTTCTGACGCGCACACGATTCTGTGACCCCAGATCGCGTCGCCCGAAGGACTGAATACGTTCTGCAAGAAGTACCCTGCCTTGCGCGTGGTACGTAAAAAAACATCTTGACGTGTTTGCGTCTCCGACGAAGCACTGACCGTGTCTTTCTTCGACGTGTGATATGACTCGACCGCACGGATTCGCAGATCACTGGATGGATCGATGACGGGCTTAACGAAAAGGCATATATCATTCCGGGGCTCGGCGACTTTGGCGAGCGGAGGTGCGCGGGCCTATGTTTTTGTCCTGTTATTTCGAGGTGTTCTGACGGGTTTGCTTCACTGTGCGCAGGTACTGCTCGTAGACAATGTTTCCTCGGGTTGAGAGAGAGGGGAGTCGAGGGGTTCGTTGGCGCGCCGTGATGGGCACACATATCTACACGATCTTTACGAGAGTCGCCGGCGGCGGCTGTACTCACACTCCAATTTTACGATAACGATGGGGGTAAGATGATGTACCTTGTCCGGAAGTTGTGTGCAGACGAGGCCGAACGATGGCCGAGTGTGTGTGAGAGAGCCTAGCCGTCGGGAGCAGCAGACAGGGGCCGTCGGAGCAGCAGACACGCACGTGCACCGTGGGAGGAAGTGAAGGAGGTGCGTCGGTCCATTTTGCTCCATCGCCGACTTTTCTGCAGTCCCTCCTCCCGTCCCTCCACCATGTCCAACGTCCCATCTGCCTCTGCTCGCCGCCGTCGCCGCCATTCAGGATCCTCTTCCACCCTCTCCCCGCCCCTCGCACACACCCAGGCCCACGAACAGCCCCCCGCCCGCGTCGATCCCCCGCCCCGCCCAAAATCGACCCCCGTCGACGAGCGTGCACTCGCTCCTGAGCGCCGCCGCTTGCGCGCGGATAGCACAGGCTCAGATGGGAGAGACAGAGACATGGCCGTCGACGACGAGTACGACGCGGAGCGCGAGAATGAGAACGACGAGGGTCTGCAACAGGTGCAGCCGGCGCGCGCGATGGGAGTGGAGATGGCAGCGGCGGCGACAGTAGACCCCGCGGGCGTCACTGCCGACACCCCACCCTCTGCCCGGCCGACGCGTCCGCTCCCCGCGTCTAAAGCCCGGCGCACCCAGCACGCCAACCCGGGCATGCTCCCCATCCAGGCCCACGTACCACGCGGCCCGACAGCGAGCGCGCAGCGCAGACTCTTCGTCATCCTCGAGCAGGCGTGTCTCGAGGCGTATCGCGTCGGCACGAACCCGCCGAAGGGCGGGCGCAACGGGGGGAACGGCCGCGAGGGCGAGGCTAAGTACGCGCTGCTCAACTGCGACGACCATCAGGGCATATTGGCCAAGACGGGGAGGGACATTGCGGACGCAAGGCCGGATATCACGCATCAGGTCCGCTTTTTACTTTGCATGGCGAATGCCATATACGTGCGGTGATGCTGAATCGGCCGGGGCCGTATAGTGCTTGTTGACGCTACTCGACTCGCCGTTGAACAAGGCGGGGCTGCTGCAGGTGTACATCCACACTGCGAAAAACACACTCATTGAAGTCAATCCCCATGTGCGCATCCCGAGGACATTCAAGCGGTTCAGTGGGCTTATGGGTGGGTGTTGTGACTTCTCTTTTTGTCTCACCTTTGTCTTGGGCGTTTCTTGCCGATCGGCTGTGCTGCCCCGCATTCGCACATTCTATTTCCGTTTTACCCTGCCGAGCCTATTTTCTGCACCAGAACAGGTCATGATCGGGCTTTGAGTTTTCCTTTTTGGGAGGGACTGTGCTCAACAACTTCGCATTGTACATAGTCCAACTGCTGCACAAGCTCTCGATTCGCGGCGTCAACGGCCCAGAAAAACTTCTCAAAGTCATCAAGGTTTGTCCTTCCCTCCCCCTCGCCTAGCCTTGTATGTCCTGACCTGTAAGCGATGTAGAACCCCGTGACGGACCATCTCCCTCCCAACACATACAAACTGAGTGCGTTCTCAGCTCGTCTCCCATTTCGTGCTCGCTAACCTACAGTTCTTCGTGCAGCGCTCTCGGGAGACGCGCCAACAGTGCGCCTGTCGCGGTACCTCCCAACGCTCCCGCAGACACACTCGGTTGCCGTGTTCGTGGGCGCAATGGCACGTGGGCGGGATGACTTTGCGGACCACGTCGTGGATGAAAAGATCAGCATCAGTGATTATCCGCTAAGTGCGAGCGTCGCTTGTGGAAAGGTGTGCTTTGCGTCTTGTTTTTGTTTCTTGGCGATGCTGCGCTTGAGTCACGCGTCATGGAGTGGAATGCTGACGACAATTCACCCCCTTACAGTTCTGCTGCGCGCTCGAGGAGCTCTGGGACATCGTCTGAGATTCGCGCTTCCGCGGTCACTACTCGATCTTATCTTCCCTGTTGTCTTCTTTCTCCGATGTCTCTCTCCCTCGGCTCCGATTCCCACGTTGCCTGTCTGTATCTGTACGGCTCTACGCACCCCCAAAAAGCACCGACGTGAAGAACGACTTCTACACTAAAATACTAAAATGACCTGCTCGGCTGGACGATGCGACAGATGTGCTCCACCCACCCGCCTACTCACGATGTACTCACTCCTCTCTCATCCGCATTCATCTCCTCCCCTATTTCGACTTCCATCTTCGCATCACCGCCCGCTGGTTCTTTCCAATCTCTTGTTTCCGTGATGCACTAGATACGGTATTTATCGCCTACGACTGATTCCCGTCTCACCATTATCATCATCACCATCATCGGATACTTGTTTTCGAAACAACCCGTGCATTTCAACCTGCGCACCCCTTCGTTCGTTCGTTCGGATATTTAAATAATGCTTTGTTGCCACCCTCCTTTGGAGCTTTGTACATCCCTCCTCCTCATGCCCTGCGATCCCTTGACACACTACATCACGTCTCACCCCCGCATCCCACCACACTTTTTACCGTATCATATTCCATCGTACGCACAGTAAGTCACACATCCCCTTCCAGCCCCGGCCTCCCGCCGCTTTTCTTTCTCCATCTGCTTACCACCGGAGGAACGGAAGGAATGGTGATGGTAGGCTAGCTGGCTACTGGCTTTGGTCACCGAGGGGGAGGGGCGGTGTCTTGGCGAACATTTTTTGTATTGGTATAGAATAATTTGAGACAGCCCGTCCGCCGTCGGCAGGCGTCGCGCGTTCCCAACTCAACTTGGGGCGGCGCTGGCGCTGGTGGCGGGGCGGTAATTTTGTAACTCGCAGTGTTATGAGCGCGAGGTCTAGTACGGGCTCCTTCCCATCCGTCTGGGTCGAGAAAAGACTTTCTTGGAGCAATGGAGTGTGCTCGTGCCTGTGGAAAGTGTTTGAACAGGTGACTGTAACATGCCATGCCTCCTAGTTTCCAGCTGTCCTGAGAGCAATTGTGAATGGATCAACAATTTGATGGTCTTCATGAAGAGCTAGGAATATCTTATATACGGTAGTTAGAATCTTGTATGCCAGCCTTTTGCTGCCTGAGCTTATGCAATTCACTCTAGCATCTTCCCAGTATATCTCTGAATCTCTTCCTCTGTAATTTCTTCCCATGCATACTATGCTGCTAATCATAGGTTCTTGAGAGAACTGCTAGCACCTGGGGTATCAGCAACACAGTTTTTGAGCATCAGCCATAACAGCTTGAAACAGCTTGATAGGGTTAAGATTAGGTAAAGATGGAGGATGTGTTAGAGATGTGATGCCTAGTTTCAACTAAGCAGATTTTGTGAGGTGGCTTGTGTAGGCTGGTGCTCCATCTCTGACAACAAGCATGAGACACATCCACTGCTGCTCCATCTTGTCAAAAAAGTTCTTTAGAGGCCCTTCAAGAACCTGTGCAACATACTCTTTTGCACATAAGCCTCTACCTTGTCTCTGGCCCTTCTCACTCATAATTATAGGTGGAAATTCCAGTTTAATCAGCAGACCTTTTACACTATGTGCAATACATCCCCATACCATAATAGATTTATGACCACTATTGAAGATTGGCTATATATTTTTGGGACGAAATTCTTCACCTAGTAATCTTATCACTCTTCTGTGTCCTTGCCTCTCTCCCAACCCCAACCTTAGCTCATTAGTTTATATAACCTCATTCCAATCCCTTGTTATGTTCTTCTTTACCCAAATAAGACATTTCCAGATAGCCACTAGTAATAGGAAGGGCTTATAATGTGCAACTCAGTAGTAATAGCCAGCAGAAATTGCTATGGTATAAACTTGTTAGGATGTTACATGTCCAATATGCTTAGAAATAATAGGATAAGGGTCTAGATGGTATGTATGGATCTCACAAGGAGCCCTGTACTATGTGTGGCTATTAATGATATATGGCTGGCCAGATTGAGGGAGACTGTGTTAGATATGGAATTGATTCTTATAAGTGATAGTATAATGGCATGCTCCAATAGAAGCACTAGTCAAGAAAGCAATTTTTTAAGACTACTAAGGCTTAGCAACTTATACACAAGCTTTATGTGATTATATTCAAGTACTCTTTGCATATATGAGTATATGAGTAATAATAAAACCTAGGTGCCAGTTATGTGTATCTTATTTCAAACTCCAAACTTCAAGTATTATCTCACTGTGTGCACCACAAGGTTTTTCCCAGGATAAACCATAGATAAATCCCTGAATATAAATGTAATTTTTGTTTGGGTTTATCTGTGGAAACTACCAAAACACAAACTTAAGGTTTGTTTAATATTTCATTATAGGGTATGAATAAATATTGGATAAACCCAAACAAAAAAAATATTTATATCTAGGGGTTTATCCATAGTTTATCCTAAAAAAATCCTACAGTACATGCAATGTCTTTTCCAAGATAGCTAGCACAAAATATTGGAACAAATAAATACAAGCATCAATGATACTTTGAGCTACTATAAAACTTTGGGCTAAACACACTTTGCACTATATCCACCAAATCAATTCCCTCAGACTTTTTGTGTATGTATTTCTATCCGTATTGGGTACCATATATATATCAATTTAGAAGATCAGTATGTTATGAATATATTTGAAGGTCCCAATTATTGTGTCAATGTCCAGAATTCTAGAATTGCTAATCAGAACATAATATATATATAGTACTTTTGAGCCAATAAAGTGTCTTTTCTGAATATAACATATAAAAACTTCAAGCTGGTAACCATCCAATGAGTGAATCATGAGTGATACTATGTACTAGATTATTTTTTGTGTTTTTGGCTACTTTGGCCAATTATAGGCTGACCCAAATAGGCTATTATATGTCATATAATAGTAGCACCACCATGTTGGGTAAGTGAGATTAGACTAATGCCATACCTAATAGTAGTTCACATGATCTTTTGGACAACTTTACTTAGCTTTATAGCAACACTTCCATTCCTATAGACTAACAAATCTATTCTATGCTATAGTTGGTAAATTACAATCATAAAAAAGTGAATAGAAGGAGAAGGGCTGTACTTGATATATATGTCTTAACTATGCTATTGAGATCTGGAAAAAAGAATATGGAACCCTCTATCTGCTCTTTTAGAAAAAGATCTGCTAGAAGATAGCAAAGGAATATCATAATATAACTGGCAAAACTATACTACTTTTAACCTTAACCTTGGATCACCATGTAAAGGGAGGGTTGAGTCTATAGTAGGCAGGTAAGTGGCTTATATGACTGATGACAGAGGAAGTGCAGGTCACTATCTGGTACATTATTTAGTATACAGACTGTGGGTTTGGATTGAATTACAAAAGGATTAAAGAGTATGTGAATGAGATTATGAGGACAAGATGGAGAGATAGGTTTCTAAGGGACAGAGTAGGAAAGGCATGAAATAACTAGTTTGTCTCCAATCATCATGATTAGATTAAAGGTCACTTGTTATACTTGCTAGATGATGCATATGCTCATGCTATTAATCCTACAACAAAGAAGGAGTTTTATGCAATCTTGAAAGAGGTAGTTGAGGGACATGGTAGGGATGATGTAATTCCTCCAGAGTTGTAGTATAGAGTGGATGAGACTGGCTATGGTAGTATATAGGTTAGATAGAGAGTGTATTTGGAAAGAAAGGAAAGAAGATACAATACTAGGAAAAAAGTAGGAGCTAAGAGAACATTACCATGATAGTGATAATCTATGTAGATAGAGGTTGTCTTGAGCTTGGGGTGATCTTTAAGGAAAGCAGCTATCAGACATAGTAGAAGGAAGACAACTTAGCAAATGCATTGTAAGTCCCCTTATCTGCTAGAACAACTGATATGCTAACCTTGATATAGACTGGCTTACTTAGAGAAAGGTTACATGACATAGAAACTAGGCATCAAATACATTAAGAACTTCAATAGTTAAATATGAGAGAAAGTGAATAGTCACTATTGCTTACTTCTTGTTGATAGTCATAACTTACATTACTTGTGTATATTCCTTGAATATGCCAAGGCCCACCATATTAAATTTCTATACTATTCCACACATACAACCTATATTTTCTAGAGCCTTGATATTTTGTTATTTAGCCTGCTAAAGAAAAACTGGAGTATATCACAAGACAACTAGGAATAGGATAGATGGAAGATCATTAAGTCAATATTTCTTGAGGTCTACTTAACTGCTCACTTTGCCATATTTATCAAGGCAAATATCCAGGCTGCCTTTTATATAATAGGGATTGTACCTTTTAAACCCAAGGTAATGAAGGCTAGAAAATTAGATTTTATATAGGATTAAAGGGGTGGAAAGCTAATATTGAGTAGGCTTAAATAGAGAGTCTTAGACATAGAGCTCAAAAGCCAATATTTGAAGGCCTTTGGGATTGAGAAATTGCTAGAGAAACTGACTCAGCTAGTAGGTAATCTTGAGTATGATAGAGTGGTGTTAGATAGTAGTCAGATAGTTGATGTGATAGTTTATCAGGAGTCTAATTACCTTAGATTTATTTGCACTAGTGGCAAGGGTAAAGGTAAAGGTAAGTAGATGATCAATATAGATAAAGATGAGACAGTCCATAGTGTAAACAATGACAATAAGAGCTTGGACTTATAAGCAGAGAATCATGATAGTAAGGATGGATCCAATATAAATTAGATATGGCAACTGCCAGTATAAAGCAGTCACAGCCCAAAGCCACATAATCAAGCCAATAATAGCTTTATGCACTGATCCTTTGTTTCTGGCCTTAAATATTATAAAATAGCTTTTCAAAGCACCCAAGTTCTAAGATCATTGTTTTAAGCTTTAATTACATGCAAAAAAATATAATAGTATATTAGGCTATTCTTTGAGCAACATTTAACTTAGGTCAGCCCAAAGTCTTATTGATGCCTGTACCATAGTAGCTACTACGGTCTTGGGACTGCCTTTCACTGATATAATAGTCCCTATAATGTAATTTCATAATTGCTGAAGAACTAGTATATGTGGTCTAAGATTCTGTTGATCATATTCTTTAATTTCTCTTGATATGAGCACACCCTTCAGTTCTGTCTCTAGTATTTTTGGAATTTGGTAGTATACTTTGGAGACCTTTGATATTAGCAGAGTAAAGCACAGCTTGCTTAAGTGAGTATAAGTTCAATTGCAATCCAAGCAAATACAGCAACCTATGAGAATTTTGTTGTGAGTACAAAAATCAAATTTTATTTGATAAAACTCATAAATTCCAATTTCTAGGATATTACAAATAAAAAGCACTGTGTAATAATTATTAGCTCTAAGGAGCTGCTCAAACAAGATAGTAAAATGGCAAAGTCATTGAATTCTGATATTTTTATATTCTAAATTATTAGCTTAGTTTAGGACAAGAGCTATTATATAGGATCGTTGAGCTGGAGCTTATTTCAAGATACATACAAGAAGGCTAGTTAGTTATACTATATCATGTTATATGTTCCTTACTATATTACATTGGCTACTCTTGATATTTGATTTATTATAGAAGTTACAATAACCTTTTGTCTTTATCTATATTCTATTATATTTTATAACTTCAATAACAGACCAAATATTCACATTACTATCTAACAAATTAAACATAATCTTGCTAGCTTTACTGACCTAGATTCTTTGATACTAAGCAACTAGTAGCCTGGGCAGAAAATTCTCAAGTTTTTAGTCTTCTTTGACAAAGTTAGTGACTCAATCAAAGCAGCCAAGGTCCTTTGAGCAAAGCTATCACTAGATTATTAACTTTATATTATCTAGTTTAATTCTAATATAATAGCATTCTTTTGTGATGCTAAGTAGGCTAAATTTAAGCAGGGTGTTATTTTTGGGTAATATTACACTAACTTATTTAGTATGGTAAAGGTACATAATGTCATAAATTAAAAATAGCTATACTAAATATAGTCTATAGGGTATTAAACATAATATAGACCTTGTTATTTAGTGATAAGTGATTATTTAGTGATAAGTGATTTATGATCTCCAAACACTATAGTAGTGATTTAGGCATGTAGTACAGGACTTTAGGTATATGAGGAAGGCAGTTCTCTTTGTGAAAGACAAGTACTTTGATAGAGTAAAAGAGAACTAAGTAATAGCAAAGGAGAAGTGAGAGATAGCAAAGGTGGCCAAGGCAATAAGATGCAAGATGGTCAATACTCCTAAAACTACATAACCCACCAAAAAACTAGTTAGAGACAACATAATTAAAACCCAGAGTATGAATAAGGTTAGTGTAGATTTGAACATCCAAGCAAGAGAGCAAGCAGTGTAGGCTAGGGAAATCAGAGAGGGAGGGGCTAGCTTTACAAGTTCTAATATGGTGCCTACCTTTTGTTAAGAACAATACTCTTGTTTATAGTCTACATATACCAAAATATACTAGATTGAAGCTTTTGCTACCTATGGATGCAAAAGTACCTATATAAAATTATCTAATTATCTAATATTAGAGCTAGACAATCTAGTTAATACAGCAACAAGGCTATATGACTGCTATTATATCCTTATCCCAGCTTTCTTTGATAATTATAAGATAGGTAGGTCAATC